TTTGGGTATATACAGTGCTATTACGTTTTCATATCTTGAAAATACCTTCTCCATTCAAGAGAGAATTGCCTAATTATGGACAAGAACCAACACTATCTGATCTATCTCATTGTTGTCATATATAAAGAGCCATTCAAGTAATAGGTAATTTATTGATATAAAAAAAGTGAAGAAAAGCGCTACGAGTGCAAATATGGATATCAAAGGACATATCCATACAGCTATTTATAGTGCAATATAATTTACAATGAAATATGTTCTAATTTCATCTGTCCCTGCTTAAAATTATTAACGAAAATTCAGCTCAAAAGTGATAATGTATATTGACATCAATTTCAAATGCAAACTGGGTATAGTTTGGGATCGTTCGCTTTTAATTATGTTAAAGAGAAAAAAGAAATTGACCAAACTCAGATGTCATATGCACGAGTACCCTCAAAGTCTGTTAATATTAGGTGTGTTTGTATCAAAATAATTAAAATAAATGAAATAAACATAAACAAAAACGAAGTAGTTTAACTTCCTGCACCCAAGCCTCAACCTTTGTCACAAATGGCAACTTCAGAAAATGTACTTGATGTGACCCATATTAAATGTAGTATATTTTCTGCTACATGCCATGCCATGAAATATCTATATAAGGATATTTAATATTGAACCCTAGGTCAAATCGCCAATTCCAGTATTAGGAAAGTTATTCTGGTGTTTATTTCTTCTTTTCCTTAACGACTGCATACAGCGTTTCTGCAAGTACCCAAATAACTGTAAGAACCTACCGTACAGATGTAACCAGATGAATATTAAAAGAAACGACAAGTCCACCATGTGAAACATTAAAAGTGCACAATTTCAAACACAATTATGAACCACGAAAAGGAAGAAAGAGACACCAATTGAGGTATGCCATTCACAGGGATGTTAGGTAATTTTACTAAATTTTGTACTGCTGACCAGATAGAATGCTTTGGTGAGGTCTATAGAAGCCAGGAAGAGAGTTCGTGTTGTTCTCTGCACTTCTCCTACAGTTGCCTGATGGAGAAGATCATGTCGATTGCGGGCCTCTCTGCGCGAAACCCACACTGAGACTCTGGATAAACTCTGTCAGCAAGCGTCTGCAGTCTGTTCAGGATGACTCTAGCGAAGACTTTACCCACGATGCTGAAAAGTGCCCCTGGAGTTGTTGCAGTCACTTCTGTCGCCATTGTTCTTGTACAGTTTAAATTTACAGCAAACTAGTGAGTGATCGGTGTCGCAGTCAGCACTGTGAAATGTACGAGTAAGCAGCACACCCTTCATGGCAAACCGTCTCGTGCTGATCAAGTCCTCCACGACACTTTGTGGTGTGGTTTTGTCTGAAAAAAATGAATTGGTGATGTTGAGGTTGTGGTGCGAGCACATTTCTAGCAGTCGTTGCATGTTTTCATTCATCTTCCCAATGCCAAACTTGCCAAGACACAAAGGCCATGAGTCGTGATCGGTATCTACCCTAGTGTTGAAGTCGCCCAGTTACATCAAGTTCTCTTCCTTTGGAATTTTGTCAATGAGCGAGTCGAGTTCGTAATAAAACGCATCCTTGAAATATGTGGTGGCACTGAGTGTGTGAGCGTAAACACTGATCAGGTTAACTGGCCCGGTTGTGGTGTGGAGGCGAAGTAATAGCAGTTTTTTCGTTTCCTTGTTGGCAGGGTTCTATCATAGCCAGCAGAGAGTTTTTGGTGAAACCAGCACCATACTCCCTGACTTCGTCGGTGCTCTTTCCCTGCTCTGAGGGACCCATAATCTGGTAGCCGTGTGTTTGTAATGAGGCGATATCGACATGGAGTCTTACAAGTTCGTCGTTGATGAGTGAAGTCTTTCTAACATCACTGATTGCCTGAAGATAATCTGATAACCCAGTCAGAATGACTCTGACGTTCCAGGTTCCTAGCTTGAGGATTGTTGGTTTTCTTGTTTTGTTGTTGTTTCCTGGTGCAGTAGTTGCAGCCCTCATGTAAGGTACTCACGTTACTTAAGCCTTGCGCACTCAGCAAGGCAGGTGAGCTGTGGCGGGACGGCACCTTATTGGCTGGAACTGCACAGCTTGAGGCGGGCAACAGCTGTCCAATGAGATCTGTTGGTCTCTCCTACCGTCGGAAGCAACCCCTGGCGTCTAACTCTACGCCAATCGAGTGGTGATTTATAACTGGTAACTGATGCTTCCCGTGTTGTGTCGACGCTGTGAAGCGAAGTTGGAGTGTCCTCTCCAGGGTGCAAGCTTGGTCAGTGAAATATGGAGTATCAGCTGTTCACCATGCAACTGACTCCCCCTCTCCACGCATCTGATGGATCCAAGGGAAAGGACATGCCGAAACGTCATGTCACCAGCTACGTCGCAGGAGTTGCCACTAAAAGCAATGTCGAGTCGCCTTAGTTACTCCGACTCCGGATTTTCTGTTAGGTTTACTCCCTGAGCCTTTCCCATGTATGGGTATAGTCGCAAGGCAGAAAAGGTGTGAAGTCAGAGTTTACCTTCTCCTAGACGAGCTACCACTCAAGGTTAACGGGCCCTGTCTGCCCGAAGCATCTGGTTTTGAGGCGCCAGAAACGCTCCTGCCATCCCTTCTCCAGTAAATTTAAACAGGTTCGGCCGTGATTAGTAGTTAAGCCACTCGTGAAGGCCTGGAGCTGGATTTGGTTGTCAGAGGCTCTCTCAGGCGCAAGCCATTGGGGGATTTCTAGGGGAAGTGAGTGCTTAGAGTGCTTATCTCCCACATCAGCCCGCGGCGATAACAGCCCCTTGGAATATATATATATATATATATATATATATATATATATATATATATATATATATATATATATATATATATATATATATATATATATATATGTACGTTATTAATTACTTTTGTCTTGGAACAGCACTTAAAATATTATCGTGGTTATTTTTGATTAGCCACAAAAGTATGTATGTAATATCTGCATGGAGGTTTAGAACGAAATTGAAATATATGCCAGGTGTCATTTTCTGTGTATCATATCATTATAAATTGTACACAAAATTATAAATATACCTATTTGGAACAGAGGCATTACTGGTAAATTATATACATCGTTTGAATAAATCACTTTTTACTTCCATGACATTGCATGGGCGGATTGTTAAATACCGAAGGATTGCACCTTAAAGTTGTTAGTGCATCTTTTATAGTTGATTGGTCCTGAAGACAGATATCTTTGTCAATGATTGGATCCTCTGTTGCATGAAAGATCATTATCTAAAACTAAACAAGCCAACCATTCAGGTACTTGTTGTATTATTGTATATTGACTGCATCTTTGATTACGAAACGATCAATGAAAATAACACGATATAATTGTTTGAAGAGAAATATTACTATCCACTCTCATCCCAAAATGAAATACAAATTCATTAGGCTATCATTTGCATAACGATTCTATTAATTTTCCACATTTGTGAACTACGTATGATAGGTAATCTGTTACAAGAATTGCTCTATATGCAAAATTCCATGCGCTTTACAATCGATACACGAAAAAATAAACATGTGAAAAGAAAGAACGTGGGAAACATATGGTAATAAATATGCACAACAAAATTGTTAGAGATTAACTACACACTTTTGTCGTAAAGAAGGCGTTTATATTTTCATCAAATTATAAATGAGATAACATTTAGGTGTCTTACAACCTCGAGGTCTTAGGATATAGGATGTTTTCCACTGATTTCAACCAATACATGGCTATATTTAGACTGCATTCTGGTAGAACCGGTTTCATTAAGTCAATCGCTAAATTGAGTTTACACAGACCCTGGTTAAATATAGTTAACACGCAACCCCCGACCTCTCCCGATTTCGGAGCGCCTTATATAGAGTCATTCATACCAATATACATTTTATTCAATGACTACGTATTATAATTTATATGTTTTTAGGTTTCCAGCGATGGTGAAAGGTCCATCGTGAATTTAATTTTATCTTGAAACAAAGTTGTCAAGAAGTGTGCATGGAAGCTGGGGGTGGTAAGTTGCTTCTCTATTTGAAGCAGGAATTTTCTTTCCCTGTCGAGGAAGTGCAGGAACGATTTATTGTGGGATAGATTTTATTGTTATTGTTGATCGTTCCAAAGATTTTTATACATGTGCAAATTCCTTTATCGTAAAATAGCATTGAAAAATTAATTAATTAATTAATAATGCAATACGGAATTCTGGCATGCCTGAAAATATAGCTAAAAGATAAATAACACCGGTTGTTTAATTTAATGTATCACCAGGCCTATAGTACAAGTCACATGGGTGATGAATGCGCATTTACTCATTTTAAAATAAATATAAATTTGTTTTAATTTCAATTTAACACTAATCTTCTTTAACCAAAGTCTATTCAGTCCCGATTATTGAATGTTCTGCACATTAACTGTCACAAAGAAACTTCCAAAAGAACATTATCTATCGCTATGGACTTTTAAAATGGTGAATATGTACTATATTTGTGTCTGATAAAAGCGCTTCAAGTGGATTCGTCACAATCAAGGGTAGCATATACGAATTTGTTTATCAATATCCGTAGCATTCATTCTGACATCACAACACTAGACATTCAATCCAGATTGTACTTGATCAAACCTTTAAGTTCATTTCGTCCAAAAATGTAAAATTCTTTAACATTGATTTTGCTGTATTTACCTCTCGCGGCGTCTAAATAATGACGTTCGACACGAATATGGATGTATACGAATCCAAAGAAAGTGAATGCTTGCCATTTAATGGTATGTCTAATCAAATTAATGAAATAGTCAGTGTTGAATGACTACAATGCCCGAGTGACTTGTACTTAGAAAGATCCTGCGTGCCTTTAAATTTGTTCACTCTGACAGATATTTCTACCACTTAATTTACAACTATCGAATGACATGCTAAACTGTGTCAAAGTAACATGAGAAAGGACCCTCCAGCGCCATGCTTGTATGCATTTCTAACAGTGAACCATTCCACCGCTATGGTGCCCTAGTGGTTAGAGGGTCTGCCTCTGATGCGGGAGGTCCTGGGTTTGATCCCCGGGCAAGTCATACCAAATACAAAAATGGTACTAACAGCTTCCTCGCTTGGCGCTCAGCATTAAGAGGTTAGTGTTAGGACTGGTCGGCCTGGTGTTAGGATAATGTGGCTGGGTGGGACATTATGCTACATGTCTGCGGCGTGATGCCTCAGTGCTAGACAACACCATAAACTGCCACACTGCAGACATTGTAGCGATATGACTGAAAAATTGCTAAAGCAACGTTAAAAATCAAATTCACATCACATCACAGTAAACCATTCCAGTATGCAACAGAATTGTTAATATACATCACATATGCTTGCTGTTCTTTTTATTACTGTTTTGTTGGCGGTATTTTTACTGGCTGTTCTTTTTATTACTGTTTTGTTGGCGATATTTTTTTTCAAACTCTTCTATAAATGAATAGGATGAATTCCAAAAGAACTGTTGTTAAACGTGTGAGTGCTATTGCAAGATGGCTCCATTATTTGTTTATCGAACGTTACGCACAAAAATTTAAAAATGCATACATGGTCGCTATAATCGAATCAAGAATCAGAATGAAAAAGTAAATTTGAAATTTTTTATTGCAAGTCAGTTAATTTGTAATGTTTTTTATGCATGCCACTGGATAAGATTGGCTATCATGTAAAATATAATCCTCAAATAAGAATTTGATTTTGAAATTCTTTTAAGATAAATGAAACAAATATCTGAGAAACTATTTTAATTTGCACAAGGGTGTCACCATACTCAATTAGGTGTCCCATTTTATATTGATTTCACGTTCATTTTCATAAAAATGTCGATTATGCCTTTCGGAAATAATAGTATCTGTTTACGAAATGCAAAAATTGAAAATTGTGGATGTTTAGTAAAACAGTTTGAATTTTCGCTGCAAGCAGAAACTGTAAATGTGATGAAATGCAATAAGCAACTGCCACACTTTTGGGTCGAAATTAACAACTTTTGCATTTCACAAATAATCCGTTAAATCCATGATTATGTAATTTCTGCTCAGGGTTGTGTGTGTAGACTACAAATGAGAGATAGTAATTAGAAAAGAACTGGAAAAAAAATTATCCAGCGAAATGTTGGCAATTCGGTTTGATTTATGGGACTCGTAGGACTATTTTCCTGTCAAATTAGTTTATCTCTGTTCACACACAGACACCTCTCTCTCTCTCTCTCTCTCTCTCTCTCTCTCTCTCTCTCTCTCTCTCTCTCTCTCTCTCTCTCTCTCTCTCTCTCTCTCTCCATAATCTTGTTTTTATTACGAATACGTAAAATGGCGTAAATTCCTTTTTATCTAATTTATTTCTTAATTTGAAAACGCTCCATCGTTTATAACATGTGACTGTTTTAGATCAAATTGATAGACTCTCTTTCATCTGTGTTTCTAATTATTTTAACTCGTTATTATTTTTCAAGTAACTTAAATGATTATTTATAACCAAATAGCAATATTTTGTATTGCCTTATTTGTTTAAGGTGTATTTTAGTCAAATATGGTTTCCCAGACCGTGCTACGATAAGTTGGTAATAGCGCCATTGACCGCAGCATTCTATGCTGCTGAGCTTGAGGTGAAGCGTTTTCATTTCCAATACCCGAATCAGAGAACCCTGGTTGTCCCCGTTGTTTATGTTTGTGTAAACATCCAAGGTTCTCCAAGAGCGCTTGAAGAATAAGTCGATGAGTGCTCCAATCCAACGGAAATTATAGTCGCATATGCATCGTGCCTGGCGACTCTTAAAGCCTCATAAGAGACCAGAGAACCCCACCCGAGTGTGGGGGCTCCAATAACCTCATCCATGGTTGGCCCTCAGCCCGTATTCCACGGGGTGAGGCACTTGGCCCCAAACTGGGCTTTTTCACTTTGGTCTGACCTTAAGACCCTCGACACCACAGACCGTACATACATCGAAGGGACAGAACACCGCCCAAACCAGCAGCACAAAGAGAGCCACCAACCCAGCAAGGGACAGCACCCAAGGCGCCGGAGAAATCAGCAGTGTGGTGTTTTCCCCAGAGTCCAGCTCAAATAATTTGGCAATTATTATTTTAGTTCTTTTCAGAGATGGACTCTAGGACGTAGCAACATCAATGTCGCAGTGGATGTGTAGATCTTAAAGAGGTAGATAGGTGTTTGCCCCACAATCCCACACGAATTTATTTAGCATATTTGAAACTTGGCAATTGTAATTTCGATTCATGATGTGTATGATTCCAGGGAGTAGCAGCATAGAGTTTCTAGAAGACAGCAGGAGATGACGTAGGTTGCCCAAGAGCCCAGAGAGGGGTGGCGTATATAAGGGTTTTTGGTTTGGTTATGGCTCCAGAGCGTAGTTGCATCATTGTAGTAATTGTTGATTCATTCAGCTGTAGTATGCACCAATAGGCCGTGGCAGCAGAAGATCACGTAGGTTACCCCAGAGCCCAGAAAGGGGGTGGCGTATATAAGGGGTTTTCTTTAATTAGAGCTCCAGGGCGTAGCTGCATCATTGTAGTAATTGTTGATCCATTCAGCTGTAGTATGCACCAGAAGGCCGTAGAAATACACCAGCAGCAAACAACGCTGTTGTAATGGTCAAGTATAACCAGTTAATTAAGCTAAAGAAATCCAAACATGTGATTGTCACATACGAGTCAAATATACCTGAGTTGTGGATATACCTAGCATTGTGAAGTCGATTGATTTGTATACTAAGTGTAAGATGATTCTAAAGGTTTGTCAAATGAAAGTGTACCATAAACATTTTGTAGTCAAATTAGGTAGGAATAAGGAGTATATTAATGAAATACCAATCGGGAGTTTCAAAGGCCATTCGAGAGTTATTAGCCAAAATGGGCTCAAGTGGTTAAAGAATAGAGCCCAATTTAAAAAGAATAAACATAGAAATAAGATTAAACAAGGAAACATAAAGGAGTCACCCTACTCATCGAGTAGGATTAGCGTTGACCGGGGTATGTGAATTACGGGGAGATAGGTAGATAAATAGTACGAATATAAGGTTTTATTATGACTGCACAGATGAGTGAGTTAAAAGCAGGAGACAGTCATAAATAAAATCTAATAATAATACATGGCTCATTAGATATTGGAAATTTTAGCTTCATATGCAGTCAAAGGAATATTTAAAGGAATAAAGGTATGTAGCTTATTACGCCGCTATCCATATTAGACAGAAAGAAGTGTGTATTAATTGTGGATGATATTAACACTAGTGCAATATATAGCTTTAAAATAACTGTCTCCAAATGTTATAATTTTAGAGACTTTCTAGGCCGGAACCGCAGCCAACATTTCACCGTGCTAAGTTGGACATGAGTATTCGTCTAGCCCTCAAATAACATTACTCGACAGCATATTTCATATTTACTGTGGATATTATCATATCAAGTGTTTGTGTGTGTGTATATATATATATATATATATATATATATATATATATATATATATATATATATATATATATATATAATAAAACCATAACAAAACAAGATTTAATGGCTATTATAAAATTGATGGCGAAGCTGGCATTGCCTGGGTCAGACAATTTAGATCATTGGATATGCAGTATATATAATATGATACAAAACGCGTGAGTTTAAGAGTCAACAGCACATTGCTGGTCATAGTTTCCTGTTACTCTGTTCGTCCACTAAATTAAGTGAAACCCATGACAGCAACATATGCAATAGCTTCAGTCTAAAGTAACTGAATGATTTCTTCATTTTTTGATAATTTAAAGGTTGCATGAATAACATCAAAATTAAAAGTGCAGCTAGTCTAATGAATTAATAAACGTCCTTTTAAACATGTAATTTTATAATAATTTATTGCTGTACTTCACTTATTCATAAAAAATCATTGCATCTTGTCAATATGGGAGGTATCACTACGACTACCTTCAAGTCTCTTTCAGAGCGTAATGTCGAAGTTATTCGAAAATAATTGGAAGCAAAAAAGAACTTTACAGTTGGCATCTTTATTTAAATCGTAAATGAAATTCCAAAAACAAGCGAATGTTATTTATTTCTCTGATTTCACATCATTAACAAACACAAGATTGAAAAGATTGCACATCAGATGTTAAAATATGTTAAAGTTCTCGGAACCTATCCGGATCCTTACTCATAAGTCGTTGCATTTTTAGTTTAGCTCCCCAACATTTAAATCCAAAAGGCTGTAATTCTTTTCACAATAATTTTATATATTATATTATATAAATGGCTAATAAAGACACAATACGTAAGATCTTGCACTCCCAGAAAAATTATCAGAATTAGTTATGAGTTTCACCTGCTCAAATTATGCTTACACCCGTGACTGTTTTTGTTTGAATATTTAGTATTTTGAAAATGAATAATAGCTGCTAATATTCCTTTCTTCCACGAGAAATGAAAATGTAGAATATTATTTATTTCTAAAAAGAAGATCATCGCCATATTTTAATCTATTTAGTTTCTAGACTCACATATTTCCAGATGGATTATATCAATAGAAAATGGAAATAATCCAAATTTAGAAATATTTTTGTTCCAAATTTTTTGTGAGAGTGATGTTAGAACAGGCACTTTTATTGTCGTCGGAATATCAACAAATTTTGATGTATGTTTATGTATCTATGATTGGTGTATGTTTATGTCTTTATGATTAATGTATGTTTATGTCTCTATGATTAATGTATGTTTATGTCTTTATGATTAATGGTCAAAGTGATCCAATCAGAGCGTAAACATTATGAATAATAAATAATACTTCTTTTCTTTTTATTTTTCACGATGTTAGACTACAAGTTCTCATAGGCATTGAGGGTAAAAGAGAACGATTATAAAATAATGGCATGTCGTAACATGAACGAAAAAAATCAAGAAATCTTTTTTCTCAGATTTGCTACCACAATTTTATATTCTGCATCCACCCCGAGAAGCGATGTATGCTTTACTTCCTTTGTTTTAGCAATGGGTCATGGCAGCATTCATATAATATCGTAAATCTTGTTTACCGAGATGTTAAAAAGTGTAATTT